TCCAGCCAACGAGGGAACGGGTGTCTAGGGCCCGCCGGTTCTAGGCAGCAACAATAGCCGGACTGTGCTGCTCCGAGTCCCTCGTCCCGAACAATGACCCACGTCCATGTCGATTAGCGCGGGGTGGCGGTGGATCCCGGGGCCGGCCRGGGCTAATAGCTTATTACACCGTGTAAAAATGACAGTGTGATCTGGAGAGATTCCAGCAGAACAGTCCAATTAAAGGAGAAAAGAAAAGGAGGAGGATCGGGGGAAATGATGAGGACAGCAATGTTCTGTAGGTTCCTCTGTAAAGCAGGCAGGCAGCAGTTTATACGGCAACAATCGCACAAGTTTTTCACAGAGATGAGTCGGTTCTGTCTTACAGCTTCATGAATGTGAAACTACTGTTTGCTTGGTTTGCTTCAACATTTTTGTYTGTTTTGATGCCCTGCAACTTAAAAAAATTATACATCAAATTAATAACGTGCTCCTTCTAGCAGCGGTACAAAGAAGACCAACTCATAGAGGATGGGATTGTTTCTACACAGTTGGAGTTTATGTTGTTTGAATGAAGTTATAAACGTTTAGTGAGGTGGCTTCCAATCAATTGGTGAAACTGTCGTGAACTGATTGTGTTTCTTGTCTCTGCAGGACGTGCAGTTTGTCAGTTTGATGTCCAAGTCCAACGGGGACCAACAGAAAGGGTTAATGTAATCCATTTCACCGGCGGGGGTCCCTCCTTGTGTCTTCGTTGGCCCCTCGGAGTTTCCATTGTGCCGGCCGGTGCAGGTGTAGGACACGCTTTGTTGATCATAATCCTCCCCGGCGAGGCGAGAGGCTTTGAGTGTGTTTGACGTTCCTCCGCCGGCGGGCCCTTTGCTCCTCGGCTGCCCAATGGGCTGCCGTCTCCCGCGGCAACTCATGGGATCCGACAGGCGGAAAAATAATGAACAACACCTCAACCCGGCGCTGACCCGGCTCCAATCACCAGTCCCACACCAAAGGTAAACCAGCCGCTAAAGTGAGCCTTACAAGACAGTTCATACTTAGACGCACACACCACCACCACCATGTCCTGAGTCACCCAACCTCCCAGCTTAAACTGTTTTTTTTATTTTAAACAGGAACTAAARTAAATTTTAAGCTGGAATCAGACTAAATATCAAGGAAAATACTCAAAACTGCCTTCAGGTCAAACTAAAAACACTTCTTTTCTTTAGTTCAGATTAAAGTGGAACCTCAAACTATTTTGGCTTCTCTTGTGGATGAAACTAATCTTTCACATTAAATACCAGAAAACAGTAATAAGTGCTCAGAGTGTGTGTTGAGGATGACTCGTAGCTACTACCACAACAAAATCTACTTGACTGAGTTGTAGCTATTTTTACTACACCAAACCTAATTAAATGATGCCTCCACCTGACTGGAGGGGCTTTGTGGGGGGGGTCTGAGTGGTGGGCTATGTTGGGAACCATCTGAATGGTGGGTTGTTTTGGGAACCATCTGGTGGGTTGTGTTGGGAACCATCTGAGTGGTGGGTTGTTTTGGAACCTATCTAGTGGGTTGTGTTTTTGGGAACCATTTGGTGGGTGGTATTTAGAACCATCTGAGTGGTAGGCTGTGGTGGGAATCATCTGTGTGGTGGGTTGTATTGGGAACTATCTGAATGGTGGGTTGTTTTGGGAACCATCTGGTGGGTTGTGTTGGGAACCATCTGAGTGGTGGGTTGTTTTGGAACCTATCTAGTGGGTTGTGTTGGGAACCATTTGGTGGGTGGTATTTAGAACCATCTGAGTGGTGGGCTGTGGTGGGAATCATCTGTGTGGTGGGTTGTATTGGGAACTATCTGAATGGTGGGTTGTTTTGGGAACTATCTGGTGGGTTGTGTTGGGAACTATCTGAGTGGTGGGCTGTGTTGGGAACCATCTGGTGCATTGTGTTGGGAACCATCTGAGTGGTGGGTTGGGTTGGGAACCATCTGGTGGGTGGTATTTAGAACCATCTGAGTGGTGGGCTGTGGTGGGAACTATCTGAATGGTGGGTTGTATTGGAACCATTTGAGTAGTGGGTTATTTTGGGAACCATCTGAGTGGTGGGTTGTATTGGGAACAATCTGGTGGGT